GTTATTAAATATTATGGACGTTTAACTAGAACAGGACATAAGGATTCAGTGTTATTTGAGGATTTTAGAAATATTAAATGAAATGCCAGGTTATGGTTATGTATTAAATTTCGGTATATTTTATGATGAAGGATGTTTAAATAATTATAGCCAAATATAAATGGAGGTACAAGGGTAACATGTATAAATATATGAGTTAAAATACTTGACTTAATATGAATTATGCTTGATGACTGTGGAAGAGATTCATGAAAACCTTTTGTAACCAACTGATACACTTTCTACAGTATGTAAGGAAGGAAGATTTTATGTGTTGTGTTTGTTTTGAAAATAAAAAAATAAAAATAAATTCAAAAAAAATATCTGGGGAATATTGAATCCCTGCAATAATGTTTAGAAATGGTTGACTGCCATCCTCCTTTGTTGGAGGTGTAATGTGGAAGGAACCTTAATGTACTAGCATTTCCTTATTAGTTAGATATCTTGAATTAAAATTATGCATTCCCAGAAGGATGTTTGTGTAACAAAAGTAATTAAACTCAGCCTTTGAATGCTCAAGAAGAGACCAAATCAAATAATATGATTCCTAATTTAAAAGTGTAGAACAGCAGCAGAACTTTGAAATTTGAAACCTTCATTGTTTTTTTTCTGTATTTTCTTTGTCTTTGTTTTCATTTTTGTCTGTTTATGCACCTTTCTCTTGGTTTGTTTCCTTGCCATGCTAATTTTCTTTTAATTTTCTTATTTTACCTTTGTTCCTTTTAAGAACATAGTTTATATTACGTTTATCATCTACGTATGTATTAGCTACTACATTTTGAATATTTAATTTCTTTCAAGAACCTTAACTGCAACATTTCTAACATTCAATAAATAATTGAATTTCTGAAAAAGGGGATACATATATTGGGGAAAAATTATTGTCCATTTGAGCTTTGTTTATGCTAACTCACATTGTCCTTTGGTTTTGTTAATTGATTTCACAATTGCTCAAGATAGTTAATTGTATTTCTTTACAGTGAACGGTGCAGGTATACCCTGCGTGGCCACAAGGATTCAGTAAACAGCATTGAGTTCTTTCCTTACTCCAATATTATCCTCACCAGCTCTGCAGACAAGACTTTGTCTCTGTGGGATGCCAGAACGGTAAGTAGGCTTTGGGATGTATTACTAATTCATGTAAACTGGACATGTTCAGTGGTTGCTTAATGGGCTAGAATTAAATCTGTTTCAATTACAAACTAGATTCTGGGGAGAAATTATGTGATTACAGAGATGTATTTGGGGTCTACTGAGTGTTACATGAACCGTAATTTTATAGGATGTATTATTTCCAAACATTTCCAAGTATATATATATATACTCTCATTTAATTCCAAGAAATTTGGAATTAAATGAGAGTATTTCCTTTTGTCTACTTTCAAGAGGGGCTGTGCAGGTAGTTGGCAGTTCTTTGAAGGAAATTATGAAGGACAATAAAGTGAAACTGAATTTGAATAAAATGATGATTCCATGCACAGGTGGTTAGCTGGGCCCCCCCTTTGATTTCAGTCTATTACTAAAAGAACAGTTTGGAAGGAACATCTGTGATCAGTTTCAGCTGGTGCACCAGCTATTATTCTACTAGAACTGGAATAACCAAGCCTAAGTGAATCCTAATAACTCTCATGCCTGGATGATTGTCGTATTGTCATCAGAATATGAGAAAGTCTTGAAGGAAAAGATGAAGAATCACTAGCAAGCAATAGTTAATTAAAGGGACTTGAGTCCAATCCAGGAAATCAGTTTAAGTAAATGTCTCATAGAAGCCTCTTCCTAGTTCAATTGAAGATAAAATGAGAGAAGGGGAAGCATATTCAAACTTGCAAAATTCTGTTGGTGTAACTGCGACAATGAAAGCAATCCTGACCTTGATTTCTTAGTTTCATCTACCTTGTTGGGCTGATATATGCGTTACTACAGTACGTTCTTTGTGGATTACACCTGAAGATAATGTGGAAATTGCAAAATCCAGGCCCTAATTATTAAGTGGTCACAAGGGCCTTTGTTGTCCATGAGTTACCTGATCCTATCTATAGTAGTAGTAGTAGTAGTAGTAGTAGTAGTAGTAGTAGTAGTAGTAGTAGTAGTCGTCGTCTATAAAGTAAAATTTCTAAACAATTTAGGAACTGTACCAAATTGTGTTGTATAATTGGATGATTTCCTTCAAAGATTATGGAAAGTTATATGATGGCCTGAGGGCGAACCTATGGCATACGTGCTCAAAGTGGCCTGCGAAGCCATGTCATCTGGCACGTGTGGCCTGGCCTGTTTGTCTTCTTGGTTTCTGGCATGCATGCACACATGATGATCAGCTGTCCTTTGCATGCGCAGCAGTGCCAAAAACCAGTGTGCGCATGTGCGCCGACCAGCTGATTGCCAGGTACACATGTGCACTAGAAGCCAGAAGTTCAGCTTTTCCAGAGTGCAGCCCCGACAAGCATGCACATGCATGTGTGATGTTTCCGCGCGGCCTTTATGGCACTCAGTGCCGAAAAAGTTTGCCATCACTGCTATAGACAATATATATATCCTGATTTTAGCATATAATTTAACCAAGTATCACCTAATGTTCTGGTTAGCAGGGGACTTGACAATCACATTCAAAGAGAGTTCATTATTTCTAAAATACCTGAAAAAGATGAGACAGAAAACTTCCTCCAGCCAAGACCTGCTCTGTATCATTCTATAGTTATGCACACAATACTGTATTTTGATGCACATAATGCTGTATTTAAATTACAAGAAAAGTTAGATGCCTATGGAGACTCTCGGTGATCCAAGTCATAGTTTGGTTTGGTTTGGTTTGGTTTGGTTTATTAAACTTGTATGCCGCCCTATTCCCAGAGGGACTCAGGGCGGCTAACAAACCAAGGGGAAGGGAACAATACAAGAACAAACAAGACGAGAAACAAATTACAAAGAACAGGGGCCAGAGCCGTATGCCAGTTATCAGCTGCCTTCGGAGTCAGACATCAGTGAGGCAGACGAACAGCTGGAGC